GAAGGCTATAAAAATTATGGTTTGTCTGAGCAAAAACGATTATATATGAGTAATTTACATTTAATTTTGTAGTTACTGGAGGGGTGGTGGATAAAATAGAGGAGAAGATACCCAGAGAAAATGTGTCACACTAGGGGAAATTCAGGATTTTTTTAAATATTACCCTATACAATTAAGAACTTGAAACTTATATACTATTAAATGTATACATACTACTATACATACTAGTTTGAATGTAAGATATTAAAACATTGTGTCATGCACAGTAAAGGATACCCATAGTGATAGGGTTAATGCCAGTATTTTATGATCTTTTTTTACAAAGTTCACTCACTGTTAATTGTTTTTTAAATGTCATTACTTTTATTATCTCTCTTATGTAAGAATATACTCCATTTAATTTATATGTAAATTATATGAAAATTTAAAGTTGATAAAAGCACCATCACAATGAATCTAATAAAAACAAACAAATAACAGTTAATTGGATACAGAAACTCCAAAACCTGGAGGATCCTCTCTACCATGTAATGAAGAAAGCAGCAGTTACAACTCTTGTACTGATCCATTAGTTCGACTAGTAAAGAACATGTCTAATGGGGACTCAAATGTCCTTGATGTTAGATTCAACTGGAAGATACCACATATGTCTAGTACTTTAATGGTTCTTTACTATATGTTAAATACATGTCACACTTATTTAAAATTTAATTATCCATCACCATTTACTTAAAAACCCTGGATAAAAACCAAACTCCTAATAAGAAGTTTCTATCATGTAATGGATATTAATCAATTAAGTTTTGTTAATGTGAATAAGTCATAAACATATTATATTTAATTATAACCTTGTTTTTTATCTGCTTTGGAGTATCGGTTAAAAAAACAGAGCTGTTTGGATCACTTGCACTCATTTTGGTTTGTGCACCTTGTAGTGCTGGAAAGAATACTGAGTGAATAAGGGCTGGTTTTCGAAATCCCAGTTTTGGTGCAATGTCTCTGGTCATCCTGAAATATGGATCCTGGTAATAAAATGTATAAGTGTCTTTTACAATACTGTAGAATAAGATTTGTCAGAGGTACATCAACACAAAGAAGATAGCAAATGCTCATTATTTACTTAGTACTTTTTTATTCTCATCTTAAAATAATACCTTCAAAAATGAGTTTCATAAATGATTTAAAACAAAGATTACTCTTTACTTTTAATTTTTGATGGAAATGTTATACAAATTTAATTTTTTAAGTAATTAAAATGAAGTTTAAATGTACAAGATATGTCACTTAGAAAATAAGAAATATGTACACAAATAACAGAAAAAACATTTATATTCAAAATATTTTAAATATTCTATTTTGATTCAAGGATTTCTAATTGTGCTTTGTTAAATTCAAATAAAGAAATACCAAACAAAAAACATCTTACAGTTTAATATTCCTATAACAGCTTGTTAATTAAAGAAGAAATTAGATTTACATTAACTTTGTGAAAGAAGATTCTTTATGCTTTACACAGATGAATTTTAATGAGAAAAAAAAACACATTACAGATATGAAGTGTGGAAATATAGAGAAAAATGATGTTATACACAAAGGGTAAAAATTATCACCACCAAACCATGCATTCATATCACATTACTAGTAAAAATGCATAGTTCAAAACATAAAATGTACCTTGAGTACCCATGAATGAAATAGGTATATATGTATAACGCAGGTGCACAAAACTTTCAACACAGCAAAATTTGAATGGAATAAAAAAATGCTTTTTCATACATGAATTTTTCAATTATGGCAAAATATGTAGCTCATAGTAAGTTTATAATATTTTATTACTGTAATATCATACTTAGGAGTTATTTTTCTATAATGATATATATATATATATATATATTGTTTGTAATATATATTTTATTCTGTAAAAATTACACTTCATTCCATCTTTCCCTCTCTGCATGAGCACCACATAAATTTCATTTTAGAACATTAAAAATTGTTAATAAAAAAAACTTTGATGTATCCATGTGTTAGTAATTAACTTTGAGTCTTATTAAAAATAGTAACATGTAATAAAACTTGTTCTGATCCAGCTCCTTCTTAGTCTGGTAACTAATGGGTTAAGACATAGGTATCACATATAACAAGTCTGATTAATACATCTATCAAAATTCTTACTAGATGCTAAGTTGTATTCTGTAACAGAACAGTAATACCACATTAGATGTCTGACTGCTTGGAATATAAAAGTTACCTGATCAATAGCACAAGGAATAAGACAAGGAATGTCCTTTTTATCTCCAAAAATGAAAGGGAATGAAGAGCTGAAAGATGGTGCTGCCTGAGTGGCTGGAAAAGAAATTTTTCCAATGCAGTCACTTTCACCAAATCCAAATATACCTTTCACTTGATTGAAGGTTACTCCTCTTTGGACTCGAATCATATTCTGGTAGAAAGCTGGACACATTCTAAAATAATAATAAGATAAATAAAAATCTTAAATAAATTACACCAAAGAAGAAATGTCTAATTAAAAGCCTCTACTGTGGGCTGCATTTCTTCACACACTAGAAGTTTATAGTGAAATCCATAACTGAATTAATACATGAAAAAACTTTTCTTGACAAAAGTTATAATTTTCCTATACCGAATATGTATTTCCAATAGGTAATTCCCTCTGCTCACATGATTAGCTATTCCTGTTCAGTGCTGCCTTCTAATTGCAAACTTTTTTGAATGCATGCCACAAGCCTTCTTCTCCCCCCTATTGGAATCTAGTGCTTCCAACATGTCTCTCATACAAATCAGCATGCGTCACTTCTCCACAAATGGTGTTTGACATAGTTACGTGATGCATGTGGCTCTCTCTATACTCTTCCACCAAACTATCACTTGCAGTTTGGCAGAGGATGGAAGCACCGGTTTTCAGTGGGGAGGAAGGGTGGGAAGTGTGACAGGAGGGAATTACCTATTGGAAATACAGTTTTCAGTATAGGAAAAGTAACTTACAATCAGGTAATTTCCATGGCTCACAAGATAAGCTAGAATCCCACATTGAATAGGAGGAGAGATCGATGCGAAGGAACAACAGAACACCCTTTGAAAGCTTGGAAATGAGAGTGTCAGACGCGAAGATCTGATGATGGGAATGCACCACTTCTGAAACCGGTATACTATTTGCCCATACATGAAATAGATATGAGATATGGGCAGAACATTAGAGGAGCACATCCAAGTGGGAGAGAACTCCGGCTGGATAGTGTATCGAACCATATGATATGGAAGTAAATTCCACCGTATAAAGTAGAAAAACAATGAAGGTGGACTCTAGATGTAGAGTGGCTAGAGCATGATGGACCGTATGGGCAGTCAACTATGTCCAAAACCCTCACCACTGACATACACACAAACGTAGGATGAGGATCATACTGTCTTCACGTCAAGTTCAAAAGATCAGAGGGAATCAGTAACCACTCCAATACCCAAACATGGAACATGTAGTAGCGTTTCATAGATTGATCCAGGAACCCGACATCTGGTATCGAAAATACATCTATATAAGACAATTCAAATCCCATGACAGGGAAACGAACCAGAACCATCCCAAAGCTGGAACATCCTTGGACCCAGAAAAGTCCACCTTCCTCAGCTGTGACCCACAACACAAAGAGTTTGGTCGAGGGAGGAATATAAACAATCATAAACATGTGTGAGGACTTATGTTGATTGGTTCACTCTAAATCCAACACCAGGCAACAAAATAGTTTGGTGGAAGAGTATAAAGGAAGTCACATGCACCATGTGACTATGTCGCAGTCCATTGGTGTAGAAGTGAAGCACAATGATTTGCATGAGACATATGTTGGAATAACTAGATTCCAAGAGGGGAGCAGAAGGCTTGTGGCATGCATTAAAAAAGGTTGCATATAGGAGGCAGCACTGAACAGGAAGAGCTAATCTTGTGAGCAGAGGAAATTACCTGATCGGAATTTGACAATGATAAAAGTATAATTTCCAAAAAGTTATTATTAGTGTGTGTATACAATGAGACAACACAGAGGACTGATGTATTTTTCAAGCACAGAGTTCTTGAAAGGCCTAATTTTACTTCTCAACTAAAATTCTGAAACATAGTCTAACAACCAAACCTTTACTGGCTTCTACAAAACTGCCAAGAAAGACTTTTGTGAAACAAAAACATCATTATAACTAACATTAAATATAACCTTAAACCCTACTGACAATAACTAAAATAAATACTACTACAGTTTCTGGGTCTTTTTTTTCAAATTAAAATGCCAAGTCAAATACCACAGTTTATTAGCTAGATCTACCAACTAAATTTAGCAATGATACAATATTGGGAAAGTTATGTGTATGGTGCTGGTTTATATGGAAGAAAGAAACTGACTTTAATACAAATTAATTCTCTTCATCCACAAAACACCATCAGAAAAAAAAAGAACCTTTACAAGTCAGCATTAGGCTAAGGCACTTATGAACCACAAGAGTGGGTCATAATAGGGATTGCAAGGAATTTCATAAAATCATAATAAAATATTCGGGCAAAAAAAAGCACATGAAACAGTAAAGCTTCAGTTCAAACAACACTTTAAAACCTTTACTACTGACTGTTAAGATTGTACACATATAAAAATCAACAAAAAATCATGCATGTTACACTTACAAAGAAAATAAAATCCATTCAAAATGGCCCATTTATAATTCTTCTTAATATTATTATTCTCTTGCCAGCCTACAACAAAAACGGCTTGGAATGTTGCACCCAAACCTTTTGTAGAATATTAAAAAGGTACTGCGAAGGTTGTAGGGGTATTGAAAAGTAGATCTGTTTCTTCTATATTATACACAAGCTAAAAGCATCATAATTCTAGTGTAAATGATATTATCATTACCCCTTGAATTCAGCTTTCTTACAAATATCTGGTGTTCCTTTAAAAAGCTTAAGTACAGGGTGAAACAGGAATTACCCGCCAATAACAGATGAACATTAGATGACTGTAACATATAGATACTCAATGTTTTGTATACTATACAATTGGTGTCTTTAGGGCAGTGTTTCCCAAAGTGGGAGCCGTGCCCCCCTCAGGGGCTGTGAAAATTCTTTTGGGGGCCACCAATAAATGGGCTGAAAACAAAGATGCTGAAATAATTTTAATTCTAAATAAACAATAAATCGATAAAAATTATGTTGAATTAATTAAATGATACAGTATGTCAAAAAATGTTATTGTTTTTACTACGGAACTTTTTTCAATCACCATGCTAAAAATATAGGTTGGGGAGCCTCAATCGTTTTTATTCACATCAACGGAGCCTCAGACTAAAAGAGTTTGGGAACCACTGCTTTAGGACGCCAACCATTATATACACCTGGAAAAAAGTTAAGCACCCCCGTGTTTTTTTCAAGTGATTCAGATTCGACGTTCTTGTGACTGATTATAAATTATCATTCAATCTAAACGTGTTTATCAAATGAAATTATGCATTATTGGGCACAAGAAAACAAGATTATCACCATAAAATAACAATTTTTAATTTACATATCATAACATCAAAATATGGACAGTTTTCATGCTTAAAATTATCTTTAATAAGTATTGTCAGTGAAAGCTCAAAAACGTTATTGAATTGTCAAATCACATTACAAAATGTCAATCATGACCCACACATTGATAATTAGTCATCGAAAAGTCAATATCGGGTATATCCACCGTTTGCCTGGATGACTGCTGCAACCCTGCCGGTTAGACGTCTGATTTGTTGAAGCGTTATCTGTCGCCATTCTCGGTGAAAGTGAGCTTCTAACTGTTGCAATGTCTGAGGAGGAGGCTAAAAAGCCTGTATTCGCCTACCCAATTGGTCCCAG